CTCTCTTAGAAATAGAGCATTTAGAATTTATTTCAGTTGATGAAAAATATAAAATAATTTTAGTAAATGAGTAAATAAACATTAATTTACAAGTATTAGAAAATCGAAATATTCCAATGCTTAATGTGGCATTGTCGTATTATTTTTAGTAAATGTTGTGGTCACATCTCCAATTCCGGACTTTTATTACTTACGTTGAGTGATGAAGTAGTTTCAATATAATATTCAATATAATACTTGGTAGGATTTAAGGATCTCAAATTAGTTTGAGCGCAGTTTTAGGGATAATTTGCGAGGTCGTACATGTTATATTGATAAAACAGAAGATTGTTCTTTAGTGTGAATTATAGTGAAAAGGGGGCTATTAAAAAATATCAGGAATTAGTTTTCTTTCATTTGCTTTTGCAGTGGATTGCAACTTTTTTACTGTCCTTCAATGTAAGACCTTACTTGCTCTTCTCCTATGGTGAAAATGTAGTACACGAGGAATAGACACTTTATTACGTAAAATTAAAATAGCACTTTCTAGTTCCACTGCAAGTTATATATATATATATATATATTTTCCTGAACGGTTGAAGCCAAGGAAGTGTCTTTTAAGTTGGTGACATTAAATCTGACCAAAACTGCATTTCGTAACATGTTTAACGAATTACTTCCATTGCATTTCCTTTTCCATTCGCAGAAAACGTCAGTTAATTTTGAAATTGGCTACACTTTCGATGGAAATTCTACAGACGATTTTTCGAAAAGCCAGTAAATATGCACGTATTTATCAGCAAAGTGCATTTTGCAGCTGAAAGCGGATTTATTCGGAATGGAATAATTAATAGACATGATTGGTAAATCTGAAAAGACCCCACACGCTACTATTGAGGCAAATAATCAATATAAAATTTGGTTCCTTTCTTTCCAGTATAAAATTTAACTGCACATATATGCCGGAAAATAACTGTTGCTTCCTTTGCAGGTCTTTGACTGAACGTACACGGAATACAAATGTATATTTACGAATTTTTCAACAAAATCGTAATATGATAAAAAAATAGAACGAAAAAAATGTCCTTCAACGAAATTATGTAAATCTAACATGAAGTCTTCTAAGGATTGCTTGAGGCGATTTTACCATGTAGTTTTATCGGATTTCTATCATTTTTTGAAGCATTTTAGTAAAGATTGCGTCATTCCTTATATTTGCGCAAGTAATCAACATCTTACGTTGCGAAACTTTTCTCAATATTTACGTTGTTAATACAGATACAGCAAAGATGTTCAAAAATCGAACTGAAATTAAGGCGGATATTTTCCACATCTTTCCTCAAATGGCTTTGTTTTTGTTAGTATTTTGCGCCATATTTTGCCAATAGTACCTATTATTGCATTTATTGCTGGAACTGTATCCGGATCGGAACAAGGGGGATTTTTTGCAGCAAAAACATTTATTAGCCGGGAACATCGTTTAAATTGGATAAATTCAAAAACATGCTTTAAACTGAAACTAAAGGGCATCGAATTTTAATTTAAAATGAGAATATGAAAATTCTTGATTTGCTTGTTTTTTACATTTAGTTTATTAAATTCACAATGCCAATCATAATTGGTCTTTGTACATTTTTTTGCCAGTAGTTATTGCATCCTAGGTCAATGTTGCATAGAAATGCCTGCTGCATGTAGATCGTTCATAATCTTAGTAGAATAATTTCAAATAAAAATCGCAAAAGCTGCGTACTGTTCAATTATCTCGAACTACGGGATATTTGGAAAATAGTAATTTTTGGTATTGGCCGATCTTTGCTGCTCCGATCTTCACTTTCACAAGAATCGTTTTGCAATCATTTTAATGCAGATTTTGTATAAGATTAACCAACTTTTCGATTCCCGCGGGACTACACTATAAATGACTGTTGTTCTTTTTTATTTAATGGATATATATTAGCAAGGCGTCTGACAAATTAATTTAATAAATATACAAGATAACACTATTGTTATATTTCAGTATTTTTTCAAAATTTTGAAACTAAATTCTTAAGGAAGGTGCATAAACTTTGTCCTAATGAGATTTCAAAAAAGGAACAAAGATTAACTTTCATTTAAGATGCGATATCTATTCGATGCGATTTTTTATTTACAAAAATATTTCACCCACTTACTATTTCACAAGAAACTCACATTTTTCTGTTGGAAGGCCTTTCAAATAGATCTTGGTCACCTAGACCTTTACATGTTCCTCATTCTCCAACTGAACTCCACTTATCCATGGATGAAGAAATTACTAGCTTATGGTTTTGAGAACTATGATACCTAATCGGTCATAATTTGAGCTCATATTTAACCTTGCCTGATTATATGTCCTGATGGCATGACCATTATCGGTAGTATAAAATGAATGACAAAATAAATCAAATACGGCCCCATCGACTTCAGTTCTTTTTTGATTTACAGCTCAAGTACAGTGATTTTTCTTACAGTTGGTTTAAACCAATTCTGGTACATATTTCATATAATATTGATGATACTGCGTTATCCTCGTAATCCAAGAAACTGAGCTTTGGCATTTATTCAGCATTTCGGTTAACGCTCTGAAACTTACATGTGGTTTTTCTGATAAACTGACACTCAGGTTGGAAAGCCTTTCGTTTGATAAGCTGCAATTCTACTATGTTCGAAGCGTTTTTCAGGAGCTCAAAAGTCGACACCTGTGAAGGCCGTCTACTTGGAAACTTTCAGATATGAAGAAGTTAACAAAAGAAAAGTTCACTCAAACTGCGCAAATAATAGCTGCTCTTTCGTCTCTGAAAAAAATAATTAATGAACTAAAAGAGAATAACAAAAATCTATTGGAAATGAGATTACTGGGCACTTATCGTGTCACACAACAATAACGTTTTTCATTTCTTTGGAATCCCATAATGGCAACTGTTTTTTGTCTTTCGTTTTCTTGTAGGGTTTTGCTCCAAGATCGGTTTAGGTAGTTTTGTTCGTCTATTTTTTTGCATGTATCAAAATCATGTGGCCTATTTATAGGCTATAGCTGTCCTCTAAATATTTATATCTATCAAAAGTACACTGGTAGTTTTTTCTTACTTCGGGTTCGTTCCGGTAGGGTTCAACTGCAAGATCTGTTTAGGTATTCTTGTTCTTTAATTCCTTGTTCTCTTAACTCTTTCTGATGTTTCAGACCTCTAAGCCATAAATTAATATGTATTTTTCTATGGAAATATATAATTAGTAAAATACGCCTATTTAGGTTTATGTGTTTTTCGGTCAACAGAAAGTGGCAAATATAAAACACATCAAAACACACATTTCATGGGCCCATGGAAAAATAGATTATCATCCATTAACCACAACATCATTAGGAAATTTTATAATCATTATATAACATCATAATAACATATTATATGATATAACATCATTAATAATTTTTTGTTCTGTTTTTGTCTCATAGTGTATTATTTAGCAGATCAGTAATTCTTCTGACTTGAGTGTTCCTTTCTTTGATTGTTTTGCCAAATGATCCATCTTGTGATTGGCTTGTGCTCAGATACTTGCATTTCTTGTAATTCTTTTATTATTTTCAAGTGCTAAATCCTGTTGTTTGTTTCTGAAATGCATACATTTTGTATTACTGAACTCTGAGCCTCATCTTTAAAAAAATCTCTGATTATATTATAAAGTTTATTGAGGGACCCCATTTTTTAGTATCTCCCTGTCCACCGATAAATTCATAACAATTTGATTTATATTATAAATAATGGCGGAGAACTACATTTCAGTTTAAGTTCTCTTGAGACTGGTATACTGTTGAAATTTGGTTATTTGTTTCACTTCTGACTGTAATTTCTGTTTTTTTACAGTGATTTAATCGTTCTTATTAACTCCACCTTAACGCTGGTTTCTTCTTAGGAGTATGTTGTCATAAGCTTATGTAACAGCTTAAATAACAGATGCATTTCTTGAGCTACTGCTTTCACCTGCCTCGGGCCAGCTTGTTTTTATCTTTTTTTGATTGGCAATCCTTTTTACATTATGGTCATAGGGAAAAGGCGCGTGTTGCATATTTGTGTGTTGTCCTATATTTAACATATCCATCCTATATGTTTCCCGGTGGTTCCGAAGAAATTATAGGACCTGTTGATATATTTACCGTCTGTTTGTGCTTTTTATTTGTAGATCGTACTTCGTTTGCCCCTCCGTTAATATGTCTTTTAGGTGGGTCCTATTTTAAAATTTTAAACTCAAATTTTTTATTTACAGAAAATTATGTCGTTCTTGAGATAAATATGGCAAAATGTATTGATATAAAAAAAACGAAGTGGGGATTTCCATTTCGAAGAAATATTTTTTACGAATTTAAATGATGGTTTATTAGTTATATTTTTGTAAATGTAATTACCGGGTATTATTTATTAAATCAACGAAAGCACATGCTACAGAAATCCTGCGCTATACCGGATATGGGCCAGAATACGAGCTGTTATAAACATTTAGCAAAAATGTTGTGATAGATTTTAAGGTCACTATTAAATGCTCTCATTTAAAATTTGAGCCGTGGTGTCCAGAACACACAAGTTTGTAAAGTAGCTATTTTGCAAATATTCAGCAAAATTTTGTTAGGAAAGGTTTTTACAGACATTTTCCACAATCGCAGTACTCGATGCGAGAATTAATTATCCGGAGAGTTTCATATTTTAACTAACTGCATAATTATGGAAAAAATGGTTAACTGAATAGTTTGGAGATAATTAGTGAAAACTTGCTTTGAAATTGAAAATATATTTTGTTTTTCATATTAGAAAAACGTAGTATCGGCTGAAACTTTACCGATAAAACTACAACAAGGATAAACGAAGCATAAGTAGGTACGCGAATCAATATGCACCTCTATAGGTAAAGTGAGGATATTATCACACTAAACTAGTTTAATTCCCCATATAAATCATAATTTGTTTGGTCCGAGCCTTAATACATTTATAAATAAACTATTTCTGCCTGCTTACCAGAACAATGTAGGCTGGCCTATCGAAAAACACCTGCTGCTGCAGTTTACCGGCCGAGAAAGTCCGTTGCTAAAACTTCGCAAGTCGGAGAAATCGTGTGAGAAGTTCCCGAATTCGGTCTGGATAGGTTGCGCGTATACTCCTATGACCAATATCCAGAGAGCACTGTCCCGGCACAATTTTGATATCAGGAGCCTGTATTCTGACCCGGGTTGAACGCGCAGAAATGCGGGAGCAACAAGAACCAGAGGTAAATGGGGAGAGAGAGAGACGGGAAGCTGAAGTTTCCACAAGTCCGTCTGGATGGGAAATGGATGGCTGGAGGTGGCTGTAGGTGTCGGAACTGACCGTCTAAATTTATAGTTTTCTTTGATAACCTGGAATCACACAAGTCGGAACAGCACATGCAATGGGAATTTTGATATGCGGGTTAATGCCAGATACATGTTTATTGCTTCCTTCTATTTTGCTGTAAAAGAGCTTAAACAATCCTACAACAGATTAGTTGAGGAAGACAGTGGATCATCCCCTTTTCAGAATATGTTTTTAAACGCACTGTAGATCAAACATTAAACTAAAAAAAGCATTTTTTTGTTACTTGTTTGCTTATTTAAACTTAGGCCAAATTATAGGCGCAAACATTTGTAAAAGGTGTAAAACTAAATTCAGCAAAAATTGATATTCTTATCTTTCATGGGTTTCACTTCACACTTTGACTCAGTCAAAGTGTGAAGTAAAAATGTTGAAAATCGTTTATTTCATTACTTTTCGGCGAGACAACAGCGCCATTATCAGATTTAAAATTTACACAAACTACAAACACCAATTCACAATTAAAACATGTTGCATACAAATTATAATTTACAAAGTGTTAAAACATTCATCAGTTTTTGAGGGAACAAAATCCTTCTTTTTGGGAGAGCAAAACACCGGAAAAACTTACATCATGATTGGCAAAAATCAACGATACAAAATATTTTACAATGTGATAATACATATATAGGACAAACTAAACAATATTTAAAAAAGAGAATGTACGACCATAAATACAGTCTGAGAAATACTAGTGAAAATAAAACAGCATTAACACAACATGCACACCAAATGTTGCATAATTTTGATTTTGACAACGCAGATATATTAATTAGGGAAATAAATTATCATAAAAGAAGAATCCAAAAAATGATACAAATAAAAAAGCATGCAAAAGCGGTAAATTTCAGATCAGATACCGACAACCTTAGCAACATTTACCAAACCCTAATAAAGCCATAAGTATGGAACACCCGGTACACTAGTGAAAAATTAAAACTATTTCTGCTTGTCTCAATACATGCATACCACTCTCGCAAATGTAGAAAATAATTCAGACAAATTTAAGGTTTCAAGAAGGTAAAGACCTGAAAGAACGTTGATTTTTACCAATCATGAGGTAAGTTTTTCCGGTGTTTGCTCTCCCAAAATGAAGGATTTTGTTCCCTCAAAAACTGATGAATGTTTTAATACTTTGTAAATTATAATTTTTATGCAACGTGTTTTAATTGTGAATTGGTGTTTGTAGTTTGTGTAAAATTTAAATCTGATGATGGCGCTGTTGTCTCGCCGAATCGTAATGAAATAAACGATTTTCAAAATTTTTACTTCACACTTTGACTGAGACACAGGAAAGATAAGAATATGATAACCAGTACCCGCAGTCAGGAAAATAAATCAGAATTCAGCAAAAAGTTTGATGATTGTCTGTCTCCACACTGTAATAATAAAACAATATTTACGATAGCAATGATGCGTTTTAATTGGCGATGCCATTGTAAAACTAATAACGAAACCTGAGTTCCGAATGCTTCCGGATGTGTCTTTTCGATATCTATTTTTATTACCTTTATTATTTATTTCGTAACTCTATTGCTTGACCGAACAGAGCATTTTATTACGATTTCTGTAATTTTCCAAATTTCTATAAAAAGTTTCTGCGAACAGTTTATACTTTTTCAATTTAGTTGATCGAAGTTAGCCATGGAAAATAGTATAAGACATACAGTATGCTTTAATATTTATTTTGACAACTACATTAAAGTTGGCATTGACTTTATTTTAATTAAGACAGCTGCTCATTTACATTGTTTATTATAAAAATCAAATCATACCAATAATAATTAAAATTTAACTAGACATTTTCAAAAAGTCCACCATTATCATCAATACAAAAATTGCAACTCTTTAGAACTGAATAAGTTGCTTTTCTTGCGGACCGACCATTTATATTTTCAACTCTAACAACAGCTTCTTTAAGTGCATTTAAATTGGATTATTTGTTGATGTAAACTGTGTTTTTTACGGCTCGCCCAAAAATAAATCCAAAGGTGAAAGATCCGGTGATCGAGGTGGCCATAAAATAGGGCCGTTTCGTCCAAGCCCCAGCAAATGTTACGTCCAGGTGATTCCGCACTTGGGAAAACTTATACGGAGGAGCACCATCATGTTCAAACCATTGCACATTACGCCATGTTTCTGAATATAAGTCGTCTAACATAAAATCCAGGTTATTCCGAAGGAATTGAAGATACCGATTTCCATTTAAGGGGCCGTAAAAAATAAATGGTCTCGCCATATTTTTGAACCTACCAATCCGACCCAAACGTTAAACCCAAATTTAATTTGTTGTCTCCTTTGCTCAACGTGGTGGGGATTTGTTTGATTCCAAAGATGTTCATTGTCTCCATTAAACATACCACAATTTGTAAATCGAGTTTCGTCGTTCCACAATATTTTATAGGGGAATTGGATGTCTTATTGGAATTTGCTTCGAAACCATGGATCCCCTGGATGTAGAGATTGGGATACTGATAATTTATACGGATAGAATTTGTGTTTTTTAAAACTCTCATCACGGTGCTTTGGGAAGCCCCGGATTCTGCTGCGATCTTTCTGGTTGAAATCTGTGGATTCTGGCTTACAATGGCCAAAACATTAACCTCCACAGCTTCATTTATTACTTTATATTTATTTATCGGCTGCATAAAACTTCCGTAAGTGCCGAAATTGTCAAAATGCCTCTCAAAATAGTAATCTGACGGTCCTCTAGCATTTGTTACCACATCTAATGTAGGTTTCAATCATGTCGCTTCTTTCTTGATTGGAATAATTCATTTTTACAATAATACTTAGATTTCTAAGTTGAATATAAACTTGAGTGTCAAAAATTGAAAGGTGTTGTTATTATTTGTTGCGATGGAAAGAATGTCTTATATCTTATACTATTTTCCATGACTTAGATCAATTAAATTGAAAAAGTAGATATAAATTGTTCACAGACACTTTATTTGTGAAAAAATCCTGACGATGTGATATATCACAGAAATCGCAATAAAATGTTCTTTTCGGTAAAGCAATATTCAACTATGGTTGCCACTTAAAAAAAAACTGAAATTTGAGCCATATGTCAAAAATGGCATTATGTTATTTTGGAGAAATGTTTTTTTGTTGCTTTTTGTTTGGAATTCAATTTTCTACAAGTTTTCTATTTAATGTTTACCATAAATAACTTTTTCCTTAATATCTCTTGACAGCTGTCAAAATTTAGAAAAATAAAATTGGTTTCGAGTAGAGCAATCAAAATTACAATTATTTGTCCATTTAATCATTTTCGTAACTGCTATAGTTTCGAAGAGCCCTGTACTGGTCAGCGATAAAAACTCCCCTGTCTAAGGATTGAAACTCAGGTCATATTAAATGGAGCAACATTAAAATAAAGACTCTCATACAAAAATTAATTTAGTCGTGGTATTGTTGAAAAGCATTTTTTACTGAATTTTTTGACTCGAAATTTTTTCTTTATGTTTTTGCTCAGTTCCACAACCTCGTTAATTCCTCGACTTCAGTTTTAGAAATACTCTACTTTAGTTTTGTAAAGATTGTTCTCCTTGGTTTGTGTCTTCACACTCTTCACCATCTTTTGAGGAGTTGATTTTGTTGGGAATCAATTTTTGTTATTAGTAATGGAAAAACTAAAATAATTCATATTAAAAAATAATTTTAAAAGCAGTGTATACACGTACGATATTTGTTGTTGACGTTTAAAAAGTCGGTTGGTCCTCACAAATAATTCTTCCTCTAACATTTTTTGGTTGATATTTGACCTCGAGGGCGGCGACAAAAATTGAGTTGAATTATTTTAGACTATTTTTTTAATTTTTTTCAGATTTTAGTTAATATTTGCTCTTTTTTCATTTTCCATTTTCCCTTTATTCAATAAATAAAGAAACTTACTTTTCTCAAAAGAAAGTATCAATAAGTCTATATGCCAGTTTGGCGATGTTTCCTTTGTAATGTTTAGCTGTACAAATGGCTTCCCAAATGATCATTGAACTGTTTTAAAATGTTGCTTAGCGCCTCTTCACGAGCTAATATCTTCAGTAAATAATCGGACTAACATTTTGAACCGTTGCTCTGCAATTTTGAATACTTTTGCATAATTAGTTAGGTTCGGAAAGCAAGGAAACGCCCACTTGTTATTCAGACTTTAGTGGAAGGGTTTGACGTCCGGTCAAAAAATTGGTTGGAAACATTTCCGGCGTGGACTATTGCTTCCTGAGTTTTCATTCAGATCAGTATTAAGCATTACAGAAGGATACATTGAAGACAACTTTGACTTTGAGAAATTTCAGTGGTCCATAGTTTCAAAGCACGGAAAACTTTTCAACCGATATGCATTTGATATTTTAAAATCAAGTGTCGTATGCAGAAATGTATTTCCTGGCCCGATGATACGGTTTAGAATTATGCTCTACAGCCTAAGTTACTCTCGGCCATAATTTTATTCAAACTGTAGTTTCACTTTCAGAAGATGGTGTCATTAAAACAAAACAGATATGTGTTTAAAACGCCGGACATGTTATTTGGAACAGGGCTGAGACACGTAAATAATATTTTTGTGGCCGCCGTTTCGTGACCAAATCCTTCCATTCCTTGCTAGTCCTACACTAATCGAGGTCATAATTATTAGCCTTATTTTGAACACTTTGAATCTTTCATGACATCATAAATCCCTACATTCAGCTCAATAAATTGTCCAGAAAATACAATTTATAAAGCAACACTGAGATAGTGTAAATACTTATTAAAGCGGTCTTAAAATAAATTGAAAATATTGCAGCCAATTTCCCCTTGATAGGGAATGTCTCTAAGGCCTTTTGATTTGAGATTTTTAAGGTTCTTATTTTCCTTTTCCTTTAGTAGTTCCGGATGTCGGCGATCATCACAGTTATTCGTACTTCATTTGCAGGAATCTGAATAGGTCATTGCAAACCAGTATGTCTCCTACCTGGACCTTTTTTGCCTTCTACTTTACCCTGAATCATGTTCTGCGAAATGCGATATTTACATTCATTTCTCATAATGTCACCAAAGTACTCCGGCTTTCGTAGTGTAATTATTAGCACAATTTGCTGTTGGCATTTAATCCTGCCGGCCATTCGGGGTGAAGTCGGACTGTGGGGGCGAACTCGGACATACTGTTATTGGTCAATATTTTCGTCAAGATCATTTGATGCATAGCGTAAAAGTACCCAATCTTCATAAATTCCCCGTAGAACACAGGGTAAGGATTTTATAAATTCTTTTCTTTTAAATATGAAAACAATGAAAGAGACTGTTACACACAACATAATACTA